GTGACCTGGACACCAAACTGGAATCTCTGAATGGATGATGCGTCACCCAAACTTCGAACATCAGGCTAAGGAACTCAACATACACCAATAAAATGGTATCATTTACAGTTCTCTTGATAGTCTTGTGATACTAGAAGTTTTACATAGGAAAGCTTGCCTTTATTCTTCATTCTAGTACACACTTCCAATTGAGGTTTTGCCATAGACGGGCTTTTGATTGATTCTTCTATTCTTTCCGGCTCATTTTCTTCTCCAGTTTATTATATACGTGCAGTTGCCGAATCATTTTTGTAATTTTCAAGCAAGCCTTTACTTGTTGTACACTTAAATCATTATTACCGAAATCTCTGGATTATGAAGAATCTGGCTTTTAGATGTCAGTGGCTTTTGCGATGGAGCTTTGCATTTGGAAAAGTGTGCAAGAATCACTTTGCTAAAGGTGGGGGAATTTTGTTTACATGCACTTTTGAGGATATTATTGTAGATGTACATTGCTTGTTTTAAGTTTCAATTCGGCTAAGATTGATTATTAAATTAATATGCCAATTAATTTCCTGTTGGTGAAGGAGGTGTCACATTTGAATTTGACTTGAGGATTGTTCGCGATTAAAAACCAAATCTGCAGGAGTTGAAAGCGGCCGACTTCGGCCTTTTAAAAAATATCTCCGTGCTTAACGTTTAAGAAATATCACCTCCATTATTTGATTCTGAGTTTTGTTATTTTTTTTTTATAAAGGGAAAATTAATATAACATGATTATTTTTTATTTGTATAAAAAATTTATCAAGTGTAAAACTACAAGAGATGAAGCAAAATTTAAAAATTACTTTCATTTTTAAACAATAATAATTTAAATAAAAATTTGCTTTATTTGTTATAAATATTGATTAAATTAATAAAAAACACAATAAAAAAGATTGATAAACTTTTTTTTTTTAAAAAAGGGGGGTATTCAATATTCAGATAGATACGCACGTTTAAAGCGGGCTACTCTTATTCTTCTAAGATTTGCTTAACAAAAAATACTCTGAGCAGATCGGTACTAATGGTGTAGTACGGATTTCTTAATTATTTCAAATTTTAGATCATTAGTTTACATAAAATAATTACTTGGCTGAATAAATCAGTGTAAAATTTAAAAAAAATAAATATTATAGTAATAATAAATAAATAAATATTTAATACTAGATAGAAGTTGTGAGATTATATTCTGATATTTATATCAAAGTCAGAAATATTTATAAAAAAAAAAGGTTTTTTAAAATTATAATTAGTATTTTTTATTAAATTATTAATTACTTTACAATTATGTCTCAATTTTTTTTTTTTTTATAATTCAGTATTAAATTTATGAAGTTAATTTTAATAAATAACAGAAACAAATATCTTGTTTTACTTAAATATAAGAAAGAAAAAATACACACAATAATTATTTTTTTAGAATTTTTTTTTTAAAATTGACGCCTGCATAGAAATAATCTATATAGTCCAACTTATTTTTAGAATAATTCTATAAATTTAAAAATAAATTATAGAAAATAAAACTAATTACAACAGGTTCATCCCTAATTTCTCTCCAGGCTAAGGGAAAATATTATACTTAATCCTTATGAGATCACGACCGTCCGTATGATCGCATCAAAGCCAACATTCCGTCAACCAAGAGAATCTCTAGTTGTCGTTCTCCACCGTCGGATCAAATCTCACATCTTTCCACTACATATTAAGCAATGCCAGCCCCGACCAGTTTAGCTGCCAACCAACGCAATCTAAGACCATCCAGACACTCTTGAAGAAAAATCTGCGAAAAAAGGCAAAAACACAACCATGGCTGCAACGGTTTCGTCTCCATGGGGAAAGCCCGGCGCATGGGCCCTAGACGCCGAGGAGCACGAGGCCGAACTCCTCAAAGAACAGCAAGACACCGCCGCTCTTCCCGGAGATTTTCCTTCTCTTTCCGCGGCCGCCGCCAGCAAACCTAAAAAGAAGAACAAGGGCCAAACCCTTTCCCTTGGCGAGTTCACCACATACGGCTCTTCTAAGCCCTCGTCACAGCCGGACCGTCTCACTCATGACGAGCTCCTCTCCCTCCCCACCGGCCCACGCCAACGCTCCGCTGAGGAGCTCGACCGCTCGCGCCTAGGCGGTGGCTTTAAGTCCTACGGTCGTTATAACGAAGATTCGCCGAATCCTAGGTGGGGATCCTCTTCTAGGGTTTCTGATGAAGGGAGGAGGCAGGGCGGTTTCAATAGGGATGCACCCAGGGAATCTGGTCCCTCTCGTGCTGACGAGATTGATAACTGGGCCGCCGGGAAGAAATCGACGGTGGGAAGTAGCTTTGAGAGGAGAGAGAGAGGTGGATTCTTCGAATCGCAATCAAAAGCCGATGAAGCCCAGACTTGGGTCAGCAATAAGGCGCCGGAACCGCGTAGATTTGGCGGTGGATTTGAGAGGCGAGGCAGTTTCGACTCCCTATCAAGGAACAGGGAGATGCCCAACGGTGGCGGTTCGGATTCTGATAACTGGGGAAGGAAGAGGGAAGAGAGTAGCGGGGGTGGTGGAGGCGGGAGGCCTAAGCTTGTATTGCAGCCGCGCACCTTGCCCGTGAGCAATGGGAAGCATGAGTCACCTGCGGCAGCAGCGAAACCCAGGGGTATGAACCCATTTGGGGATGCTAGGCCGAGGGAGGAGGTTTTAGCAGAGAAAGGAAAGGACTGGAAGGAGATCGATGAGAAACTCGCGGCCGTCAAGATTAAGGATAGTGGGTCGGAGAAGGGAGATGGAGCGTTCGGGAAGAGGAGCTTCGGTATGGGTAGTGGTCGGCAAGATGACCGCGTAGAGAGGAGCTGGAGGAAGAATGATTCTGATACAGATGCTCATCCAGAGAGGTATATCTCCAATTAGCTTATTCTCCTGCTCTGTCTTTTGTTTTCGGGATTGATGCTTAATGATCAATAACCGTGTGTCTTGGATTGATCTTAGATATGGCTTGTTGGGTTCTTGTTAGGATGTTTGGCATGTCCTTAGAACTCTTAATTTCCAAGAAGATATATTTAGCATTTACCTATTGCTTACTGGTGGGACTCATTGTTTTCATTTCTCTGTGTCACATTATTATGGCTTGTGAATTCTATTCTTTCACTTGCTTACTTGGATGTTTCTTTCCTCCTGTTTTCCATCGTCTGTATGTTTGTAAACTAGAAAGCTCGAATCTCAACAGCCAATAGGTGGGTTCCTGACCTTCTTTTGATATTTTTCTGTACAAAATGTGCCTTTACTGTGTCATTCCTTTGCCCACAGTAGGAATTGGAATCAGCTGCTTTTGTTTATAAACATGGAGGTGAGAACATTTTTGGGTCCCAAACCATTTTGCGTTCTCCTGCGAATTTCACCTAACCTGGCATAGAATGATGGAACATAGTACATTTGTTAAGTTACTTTTATAGTCACTTGGGTTGAAAGTTCTTGTTGAATTTAATGGGTATACTCAACTTATTCTCGAATTGTTCATGGACTTGTATGGTTGGAGGCGTGATTGCTTTATAAGAACAAACCTAATGCTGTTAATCTTTTTTAATAGTGAATAATGTATGTACTTTTTTATTGTTCATACCTTGAAATATCAAATATTCTATTTGACTCGCAAGATTGATTTTGAAGATGATTTGATATGTGTGTGCATGTGCATGTGTGTATGTGTCATGATTGAAAAAGAGGTTCTCAGGCCGGTGATCAGCAGTTGGTTGGTGTTCCATAATCTTGTGTCATAATCTAGAGCAGATAAAGTTTAAAATGCTGCAAGATAAAATTCATAAAACCCATGACCAAGAGCCTTTGGCTCAGCTGCTACACCTCCCTGTGAGCGAGGTTTCATGGGTTCTATACCCAGTTACCATAAGGGCTATAACCCTTAAAGGAAAAAAACACCCGCGGACAGGATGAGTATTCAAACTGATTTCAGTCCTTAAAGTAGTCAGTACAATCTAGTGGGGAAGGTAATAGAATGGCGACAGAGATGTAGAATTCATAAGTTGCAGTTACTTCTACTCAGAAACATCTCTTTCAGCATGACCTTTTTCTTAACTTCAGGAAGTTCATAGGTTCATTAAGACCGACAATGTGCCACCATACATATGTTACTCCCTTTCCCCTAGTCCGAAAACTAGCTATTTTGTGTTCATATACACTTGTATTAGGCTTTTGTTGGTAAATGGCATATTATTTCTGTTACAAATTTGTTTTCCTGGGTTTGCAGTGCAGAAAAAACTGAGAACGGACATGTTGAAGAAACAAAGGAAGACGACAAACAGAACTAAAGATACAACCCCGAGTACTTGGAATCGGGCTTGATCAGAAAGAACGAGGCTAGGGATCGTGGGGTCAATCAAAAAGAAAGAAAAAGAGAACATTGAAGTTATTAAATTGAAATTAGAAGCTTATTTGTTGGATTGATGAGACTTTTATTTATATTATTGGTTTGACTGTTCTATTGTGGCATCCATGTTAGACAAATTTTGGTAGGTGTTGGAAATTGTTACACTAGTTCTTTTGTTTGTAGTGGGTTGCATACTTACATTCTCAGATTTTTCTTTTTTTTTTCTCTTTTCCCCCCAACCTGTTGATCATTGTTTTCATCCATCCAATTTCTTTTTTTTTTTTTTTTCTTTCTGTCTTGGGTTATAGCTTGAGAGTCCGGATTTTTATTGTTTTGACTTTTTGAGTTAGTGAGAGAATTAATTATTCATGAATGTTGTGAATTGAATTCTTTTCCTTCTGATTGATACCCATGTTCATGTATTACAGAAAGGCCTCTCTTGTGTTTGGGAAGAGTTTATAGTTGCATGCTTTGGAATTTGATGGTCTTTGGAAGTTCATGAACTATAATAATATACTCAAGTATGATAAGTTTTCATTACAAGTTTTATGCGATGAAGTTGAAAATTTATGAAAATAAAACATAATAAAAAAACAAAAGAGGTCGGGCTTCGTTTAACTATTTTTCAGTAGGATAAAATGGAGGCTTTACAACCAAATTGGAAATAATTTGCAATCACGACTTCAGCAAACCCTAGCTGTTTGCCATTATTAAAGTATATAAAAAAAAACATGAAGTAATTAAAAATGTACCCCAAAATAAAGTGAGAAGAGGCGGAAATGGAATTGGCAAATAGTGAGCTTTGCACGTGACCAAAGTCTCACTCTCTTCATCAATGCCCATCCCTACTTTGACGGCCAACTATATCAAAATCTCAACCCTTTATATCCGCACATTAAATGTGTGTTTCCTAAATTTTTATTAGTTAAATTAACTAGTAACTCAAAAGGGTTACTCTAATTACCAAGTATTTTTTATTGGCAGTAATTGAAATTGAATTACACTGGCATTACATCCATGTCTAGAAGTGTTACTAAAAAGAGTTATGCTTGGTCAAGTATGGTAAAAAAGACATGATGGTATATGGCCTTGTAGGTGAGCGGATATATATATAATATATATGTGATGCTTTAATAGCAGAAAAAATAGGAATTTCAGATACCCTTTATTCAGATTTGGAATAATATTGAATTCAATAGCTGGTATTAATTAGAATTTATAGGACCACTTGGGGTAGTTTAAGTTTCAAAATTCATGATCCACACCTCAGTCTATTTCACCTTCTTTCCTAAAGGTTGGAACTTGATTTTGAATGATTAGTTATAGATGCATTGGTAATTAATTTAATAATTGAAGATGATTCTTATTTTGTTTTCCCATATATATTGCTGTATTTCCAGATTAAAGTTTCTCTTTTTACATTTTGGGTAATCACGTTTTGTTATATTGAATTCAGATTTTTAAATTTTGTGTCAACTGTACAAATTTTCTTGAATGATTCAAGAAAATTAGGTGGGTTAATTTAGTTCTCAAGGTGTGTTTTGGTGCTTAAGTGAACAAAGATAAGTATGGGAAGAAAGGAAAGTCATGTCTAATTTAAGTGTGAAGAAGCTTTTGCATTAAAACCACCAGCTGACACCCATTACCAGAACAAGTATGCTCCATAAATGAATTCTAGTAAAGCTGAGATCACACACTCTTCAATTTACTCTACTTCCACACCATGCACCAAAAATTAAATGAGTTCCCATTTCTGAGATCTCTTTTTTATCTATTCACTTGTGTTACTTACATCTATATATATATATATATATATATATATATCTAGTCTCAGATGTATGCGGTATGTAATCTCTTTTTCAAAAAACACCATTAATGGAGACAGTTGAGAGTTGAAAAACGAAAACTAAGCCTCTCCCTTTATTTACTCTCCAATTGGGCTCAAGGTTTTCATCACTATCAGATCAAAACTGCACTTCATTCTCTTATCTTCTTCTTCCTTTTCATGGGTTCTTATTCAAAGTACACCAAGCTTCTCTTCACAATTCTTCTCCTTCTTGGGACAGCCATTGATGGGATCAATGGAGATGCCATGGTCTCTGGAACTGTATTTTGTGATCAATGCAAAGATGGTCAAGTTTCATTCTTTGATTATCCTGTAAACGGTGAGATCTATCTTTCCTCCATCACCACAACTTTTAAGCTCTTCTTTTCAAAGTTAAAAAATTTAGGATTGTTGCAGGAGCTAAAGTTACTCTCACATGTACGGATAGCAATGGGGAGATTTTGATGTCAAGAGAAGAGACCACAAACTGGTTTGGGAACTATGCAATGAGGTTTGATGGGACACCGGACCTGAGCAACTGTAATGCCCAGGTCTCCGGCGGGAATAGCTCCGGCTGCGGAGTAACTGCCGGTCCGGCCAAAAAGCTAACACTGACGTTTAGGATGTTTGGGATGGAGATGTATGCTGTGGATTCATTGCTTTCTCAGCCAGCTGAGCCAATGTCTTTCTGTCCCAAGTCGCCGGCGCCAGCGGTCAGGCCTCCTCCTCCTACGCCGCTAGTCGGGTCTCCTCCGCCTTTCAGACTTCCGCCGATGCCTCGGTTGCCACCATTGCTGCCCATGCCTCCTCTGCCTTCTTTGCCGCCCATGCCTCCCTTGCCATTTCTGGAGGCGTCAGCTTGCCCACATCAGTAAGTTTGATTTATCGTGGACTTCCCACAATCTATTTCATTAATAGAAACTTGTATATATACAGATATATATATACATCATATGGATCAAATGGCAGGAATAATTGTTTTGGTATGTGGCAGGAGGTGGATAATGCCGGAATACAAGTGCTACTGGAGGGCGCTGAGTCCTGAATCAAAGGTAGCGGTTGTATTTGGGCCATTAGCAGGGAGGAAGTATGGATCAGATATGACCTTATGGCAAGCTTTGCAGGGGAGAGGAGAACCTTACAGGACTCTGCTAAGGGAAGCCACAACTGCCCTGCTCAACTCCTATAATAGTCTTCAGTTCCCCTATCATTCAGTCACTGTTCTCACTCACACAAATTGGGCCTTGATGGGCTCTAAACGCAGCGTTTTGCTCACTGCACTCAGGTTCATCAGGGCTAATTCTGGGATCACAACCAAAACTCCCTGCAGATTCGCTCCTTGCAAATGATCATCATTACACACAATATACATCTATATATATATATATATATATATGAAAACATATACATATATATATATATATCATATCAAATCAATTTTACTATATATTTTCATGTGTCATTTGGTTATATTATATATTTCGATCAGTACTTAATGTATTAAATTGATCGAGCTTGCTCAAATTATTGTTCTTTACCATTATTTATCTTAATCATATATAAATAAATATTTTGTTAATGTTTGCTTGCTTCATGGCACATTTCTCATTTAATGTTTAGTTTCAAATTTAATATCAATTTTAATACATATATTGAACGAAGAACATTGTTAATTATTATGTTTGTTATAATCGAATTTCTTACTACATAATTCTACTTCTGTTATTTGCAATTTCTCTCTCTTTTCTATTGAGGAAAAAAAAGAAAAAGAAAAAAGTGAATGCTTCAATAAATTTACATTTAGAAATCAAAAAAGGATTGAAGGTTAATTTATATATATATATATATATTTTATATAAGAACACCATGAGAGGGAACGACCAACAGAGAATAAAAACAAAGTGACCGGAAATGGACGGCAAAGAATTACGAATGTACAAATTGACTGCGTATACTTCATGCCGTTCCCTTCTAATGTTCTGCCATGTACTTACCGTTAAATTCTTGTAGCCATTGCACCATAATACATGTATATATAGAGAGAAAATGACAAATATACTTTTTAAAGTCTAAGAATTCATCTATATATTCCGTTTATATAGACATATAAGATGATCAATCTCACCCAAGTATACACCAAAAGTTACCATGTCAGCCATGGCTCCAATGTCTTCTCCAGCGAGCTTTTCTCTTCTATTTTCATGGCTACTCATGATTATTCTTTTAATTTTCTCATCTGGGTCTCACACTATTATCTCAATCCACTCATTCACGTTCACAGAAGCAACCGTGAAAGACATCCAACTTGCCTTCAACCACAACCAACTTACCTCCAGGCAGCTTGTGGAGTTCTACCTCGGCGAAATCCATCGCCTGAACCCAGAGCTAAGAGCTGTCATAGAGGTTAACCCAGATGCTCTGTACGAAGCTGACAGGGCTGACTGTGAGCGGAAAGCTAAGTCAGTTTCTGGGTTGCATGGCATTCCTGTGTTGCTTAAGGATAATATAGGAACTAAGAACAAACTCAACACCACCGCCGGCTCGTTTGCACTGGTAGATTCCATGGTGCCTAGAGATGCAGGGGTTGTGAAGAGGTTGAAGAAGGCTGGAGCTATTATTTTGGGAAAGACTAGCTTGAGCGAATGGGCGGCTTTTAGGAGCACAATGGCTCCAAATGGCTGGTGTGGTAGAAGCGGCCAAGGAAGGGTAATTTGTTTCGTGATTCTATAAATATATAAACATGTGTATGTATGTATCTAAGTTTTAAAAACTAAGCAAACTGGATGCTGCTTGTGAATCTTTTGCAGAACCCTTATGTTCTATCAGAAGATCCTTCTGGGTCAAGTAGTGGATCCGCAATATCTGTAGCAGCCAATTTGGTAACTGTTTCACTAGGGACTGAGACTGATGGCTCAATTCTATCTCCATCAAATGCTAACTCTGTGGTGGGTATTAAACCAACTGTAGGTCTCACCAGTCGATCTGGAGTCGTTCCTATATCTCCCCGACAAGACACCATCGGGTATGTCTGGTATCGATTCAGTATTCATAATGAAATAGGAATTGGATTAACTAAAATTTATTTGTTTGTGGTGATAATTGGAACAGGCCTATTTGTAGAACAGTAGCAGATGCTGTTTACACTCTTGATGCTATTGTAGGTGTTGATTATAAGGACAAAGAAAGCTTCGCAACATCTAAATATATTCCACGGGGTGGCTACACACAATTTCTAAAGGCTTATGGGCTACAAGGGAAAAGAATTGGCGTAGTGAGGAATCCTTTCTTTGAATTAGAAGGACCTGTCGTGTCTCAAACATTCGTGTCTCATCTCCTGACATTAAGGTGAGGTAAACCTGTTAGACTAATCTCCAAGCTTTGGTTTGGTCAACGAACAATCACTCAATGTCGCTACACGTAGTTAAACTAATAGATAGATCATTGCAAACTTTTCTGCAAATTCAGGCAAGAAGGAGCAAACTTGGTAGACAATATGGAAATAGCCAATATTGAAACTATTAATAATCCCATGGCAAGTGGTGAAGCACTAGCTTTGATGGCAGAGTTTAAGCTATCCTTAAATGCTTACCTAGAAGAACTTGTGACATCCCCTGTCCGGTCCTTGGCAGATGTTATAGCATTCAACAACAAATTCTCCAATTTGGTAAGTTCCGATTTCGGTTTTGAATTGAACACAGAGAAACTTTTTTTTGATCCATTGATGCTAATAGACTGTTCAAACAAAATTACAGGAAGTGGTTGAGGAATTTGGGCAAGATATATTTCTTCAGGCTCAAGAAACGAATGGAATAGGTGATGCAGAGAAAGCTGCTATCTTAAATTTAAAGAGGTTATCAGAAGATGGGTTCGAGAAGTTAATAATGGAGAATAAACTAGATGCATTGGTAACTCCAGGTTCAAGCATTACCCCTGTTCTTGCAATTGGTGGATTTCCAGGGATTAATGTTCCTGCTGGATATGATGATATGGGGGTGCCCTTTGGAATAACCTTTTCAGGACTCAAAGGCACTGAGCCAAAGCTAATTGAGATAGCATATGCTTTTGAGCAAACCACTAAGATCAGAAAGCCTCCCTCATTCAACCCTTGAAACCCTAAAATTCATTGAAGATTTGAATATCAGAATTTGATGCTATAAAACTTTATGATAACCATTTAACTGAAATTATAATCTTCAGTTCAAATCATTAGTCTGAAAAAATTTAAGTATTATCCTAGATGATGAATTGTAACATCTGCATAACACGTAACAGAAGATAAAAATAATAATTTAATATGATCTATTTATCTTTAAAAATTATATTGTAGGTCAAATATTAAATATAAAATATATTTGACAGTAAATTATTAAATTAAAATTGTTTAAAAATACGAACACTTTATCGTATTCACATCAAAATTAAGTTTTACCGTTCAATTCTTTAATTAACGAAACATATGTACAAATTAAACAATATAAATATATTAAACAATATTAACAGAGAATTCAATTTAATTTTATACAAATAATTTTATAAATCAATTTAATTTTAAATTAAATTTTATAACAATCTCAATTATTATAATAGTCACCCATATTATATTATTACACTATTAATATAATAACCCAAAAAAAATAAATATTAATTTTCAATTTTAAAAATAAAAAAACATAATTTATTTACAATATTGATTATATTCTCGTTAGTAAAAAATATAATAATATTCTATTTAGATCAAAAATTTTATTTATTTAATTAAATTAAATACTCGTTAGTATACGATCTCATAAATTTAACACTAAACCGATAGTAAATTGATCAAACTAATTCTTTTTTGTACAACTTGCTTATTCTTTTCTCTCCAATATGATCAAGCCTACAATGATAAAAATATGTATAATTTACTTGATCACCTCTTTTTTCTTAAAACTAGAAACACGCAAAATTGAGTTTTCATTCATATAAGGTAAAATATAAATATCATGTTGGAGATAACCATTTGCATATAAATCATCATCATGATAAATAAAACAAATTTTATTATTTAAAATAATACGAAAACTATATTGGTCCAAAAAAGATATTAAAATTATGTTCAAAACAAATTTAGGAACGTAATAACAATTCTCTAACAAAAGTACTTTGCCTGTAGGCATCATAAGATAAATTGATCCTACAGCTAGAGCTGCAACTTTTGTACCATTACCAACTTGAAGATTAACTTAACCTTTCTTCAATCTTCTATTAATCTATAATCTCTACAACCTATTGTAAATGTTAAAATGATTACTGGTATCTAATACCCATATAGACGGATTAATAGAAATTATAGAAATTATGAAAACACTTTTCATTAAGATCTTATCTTGTTTCTTATCTTTCAGAGATGCAATATACTCCTTGCAGTTTCTCTTCCAATGCCCTTTCTTCTTGCAAAAGAAATATTCAACATCAGAATAGTCAGCTTTTGTCTTACCTTTGGGTTTTATCGCACCACCCTTAGGTGCAGCGGACTTTTTGGGCTTCTTCTTACCCTTACCCTTCTTTTTAGAAGAGTTGTCAACCAATATGACAGTTTCTTTCTTCTTCTCAGATGCAATTTGATTCTTATAATCAATCAACATATTGAACATCTTATGAAGATCATAATTTATTTTATTCATATTGAAATTAATAATAAATTATGAAAAAGACTCAGGTAGTGATTGAAAGATCAAATTTTGATAAAGTTCTTCACCCAATGTGCACCCTAATTTTTAAAGTTCTTCAATAAGATCAATTACGTTTAAAACATGGGGCCTAACTGGAGGGTAATTACGTTCAACTTGGATCTAAATAAAAACTTAGATAACTGGTATCTAGTTGTCTTACTTTGTGCACCATACATCTTCTTAAGATGATCGATGATTGCACGTGGATCTATATCCTCATGTTTCCTCTGGAGTTCAGAACTCATAGAAGTAAGAATAATACATTTGGCAGTAAGACAATCTGTCAAGTACTTCTGAAAATCCTTGACTGTCTCAGCATCATTTCATTCTTAGGTGGGGTCTCTCTGGCAGGCTTATCGATTATGTCAATAAACTTTTCATGCATGAGAATAATTCTTAGATTTCGATACCAGTCATCAAAATTTGGTCCAACTAATTTATTGACATCAAATATGTCACGCAGTGATATAATAAACATATTGAGAAATCTAAAATTTAAGAAAAAAAAAATGCAGTAATATAGGAATACATTTACAAATATCATAAAGAAATTGACTTTTATCTAAATGATATTTCTACTAAATAAATCAAACAATTTTAAGAAATCTATATTTCAATTTAGTGGAATAAAAGAATCTTCTAGCAATATGAATGAGCCACTCGGTAGTCAAGTCGATTCTCACACATATTTTAAAGGTAAGTACTGTTACCAATTGTATTCCTAGACAACTTCCATAAATTGCTCTATACCAAATAGTCTCCTAGTTGTCAGGTCGTTTCTATTAGTACAGTTGAGTTCAACCATTATAATGAAAAACAATTAATAAAATTTCATATTTTCTGAATAATCCAGATAATTGATATAAAATTGAAATAATTATTTTTATATATGCATCTTATGCAACAAATAATTTTATTTTATTCTCAAACTACAAATCTCCTGATTGTCAGATCGTTCTTTGTAAACAAAAATAAATAAATTTATTTATTTTGATGGTAAGCTATATAATAAAATATCTTATATATTATTATCATGAACTTAATTTTAAATTAAATAATATAATTATCAAAATAATTATAAAAACATAATGATCAAATCACTAATATAAAATTAATCTTGTTTAAATTATCTACAATTAGTCCTAATAAATTTACTTCATATGTAAGACTTAATTCAAAATTACACAAAGGACAAACATACATGTAATAATTAAAAATTAAATATGATATATATTTACGATTAAAAATTTCAAAAATTAATGTAAATATATAGACAAAATATTCAAAAATAATAATTTTTTTGACTCACACATTACATACACATTTACATATCTATATATATATCATATATAAATTCTCTAATTTAATTTTTAAATAATTAAAATAATTAATCTATTTAGCAAAACTCAAAACACTCGTTAGTGTGCGACCCCATAGGTTCAACACTAAACCGGTAGCAAAGTGGTCAAACTAATTTACTTATTAAGGTTGACATCTAGCAACACTGCTCAACGACCATATAATATGAAATGTACAATTACTCTTAACAACTTGCTAAAGAAATATGTAATATTTCATTCCGTCATTATTGTTGCGGGTTAACCCTAAGATATGATTTGACCGTCAAATCACAATAGGTAACTAATTATGTTTCATGTCAATTATAATTGATTAATGAATGATATAAGAAACTCTTTTTTTCATTCATTCAACTGTCATGACTAATGTCTTAATTTATTCATTATAATAAATGACAATATAAATCTTAAATTTATTACCTAAGTTGACAGATTCTACCTTAACCAATCATTAATTTTATAAGAATTTAATCACACTCAATATCCTTTCAATTATAGTTCTATGACCATAGGTGTTCATAATCAAAGTATAAAAAATGACTTATCAATTATTATGATGATTTCAGGTTTAAGAAAATTCTTACATCTCATCAAAATAAGAGAATACTCTATTGACAATTTAAGTTAATATTACTCATTAGAAATTTTTAATTAAATCAGTTCAATAATCATATCTCCATATGCATAATCTATATATGTGATTTAATTAATGAGATTAATTAATCTTTATCTTATAGAGACTATCACATATATATTAGTTTTACTAAATTATTAATATTTTATTTTGATTATTTAACGACTAAAAATATTTTAAATTAAATTATAAAAGGTTTTTACTTTCATTATCAAGATCTCCATCTTGACGTAAAATCTATAAATTTAATTAAGAACTTTATCATATAAATTAAATGATATGATAATAAAATATTATTGTCATATATTAAAATAAATTATCAAATAATAATGTATTTAATATATTACAGGAATAATTGGATCTTGATCATAATAGTTATATCTCCAACACTGGAGAGATATGTTAACGTTACTCTTGATATAACCTTTAGTCTTTTCATGTAAACAAGAATCACTAATTTAAATTCTTGAAAAAATATTACAATAATAGAATATGGGAATTGAATCAGATTT